AATGCTTATGTGGCATGCATCTCAGATAGGCTCTGGTAACTTAATCTAGCCGCAAGCAGGCAAAATGAGCAACGGTGGTAAGATGGCGACTCATAACCAGCTGATTCGGGTCCAGAGTGGCAGTCCATCTAGGGGGAATGTAAACTTTAATTTTAAACCTCCGCTGACTTGCGGTCATCTCCAAACATGGAAAAATCTATGGAAATAAATTCAGACAGAAACCCCGTAACGGAAACTCGAAAGCGGTTGGCTGTCAACACTGATAAATTTCCGGCAACTCAAATGGGCCCAGATGTCTTGTATTTCTTTCGATCTTCTTGATACGGCTGAGTGTGGGGCAATGTAGTGTGGGTAGCTCACTACCTCCATATACCATCGTCCCGGCATCTACAATCAAAGGACAGTATTTTGACCAAACAGAGACTAAATTTGTTCCGGATATACGGCAACTTATGCAGAACTTGAAAAAAATGTAATAAAAATTAGACTGGCAGATTTCAACAATTTACGTAAGACGTGTGAGTGAATTCATGTTGGAAAAAGTACGTGTATACATATACCTATATAACAATTTAATGCCGCAGAACGTATAAATTGATTTAATCAAACATTGTTTAGTGTTCATATTTTTTTCAACCTAGATACTTTTCTGTCAACGCTTCTTCATGAACCAACTTCGGCAAAATTATTCTATAAAAATTGATGTGAGCAAATAAGATGAATATTTGAAGTAGGTCTAAAACATATAAATTCACGATTAAAAACGATTAACCATTAAATTAACGATTTAAAAAAGGGCTTTCCAGGGACTTAACCCCGTTGTTTGATTATCAATCTTTTCGTGGTTGAAATTGCTAAAGACTTAAGCTGTTAAATCTGAAAGAAAAAGAAAAAAAATCATTAGACGCTTAAACTTAATTCACATTTAAAATCGGTCCAATGGTTATTGGAACAACGTATATAATTAAATTCAAAAAAGTTATAAATACTCCAGCGTGAGTGTAAAATAAGAAAGACATTAATACTCACGATCCTCTAAATAAGTGGAGTGACCAAAGGAAGTTCTTCTGCTTAAATAACGAAAGTTGTTGTAATTTAATACATACAGCTTCCAACACTAGCAAATGGTTTATGGGACGCGCCTTATGCAAAACAGAGAATGAGTAGATGGAAAAATTTGAAGAGCATAGCTCGTTCTTCAAAAGGTGTTGTCCAATCGCAGACTGATGCATAGATTGAAAAAACACGAGTGCAATTATGATGATTCAATCTAATAAATGCAGCCTAAGAGAGTGAGGAGATAAATATTATTATGAATTGTAGGAAATCTGCCCTCATCCAAAATAAAGAACAGTGTGTAAAAAATTCTGATGATAACTTTAACATTTCTATGGGATCATTAGATTCTGCGTGTTCTAATCTGGTTGTTTTATATATTTTGTATAACCTTACTGCTTATGAGGAGATCACTCTAGATAGTATAGGGCTATAAAGAGATGATGATATTATGGTTGTAAAACCTCTACGAAAATTAAAGTTGATTAACAAAGAAAAATGATTCATAGGGAATTTAAAAGTTTAGAACTTAAGGTTAAAGTAAGTACTAATATCAAACAAGCTGATTTTCTCAATGTAACTTTGGATTTAGTCTATGAATATTTTCAGCTTTATATGAAAAATAATGCCAACCCAATCTATATCCACTCTGATTCCAATCACCCAGTGTCTGTAATCCGACATATTCCTTCCTCTGTAGAAGGTAGATTTAGCAACCACTCATCGAACAAAGATGTGTTTGAGAAACATAGTAGTGTATACAATAAGGTTCTTAGGAATAACGGGTATAAGTGAACTGGAATTCAGTTTAGAGAATATGATGGTAATTCAAAGAAAAGAAATAGAAATAGGAAGATCATCTGGTACACACCTCCATTTAATCAATTATTAAGTACGAAGTTAGGCCATAAGTTTCTCAAATTAATTGATAAACATTTTCTGAAAAGCAACCCTCTTAGTAAAATTTTTAATAGGACTACATTAAAACTTAGTTATAGTGGTACCAATAATCTCGAGAAAATCATAAATTTGTCAACAATAGAGCACTTAACCAATTTAATAATTTTAACCATAATGCAAGCACTAATGCAAATATTGTTAAGGACAGTGAGCAGTGTAATTGTAAGACTCCTAACCAATGCCCATTGTCTAACAAATGCTAAACTGAATCCTTTGTCGGTGTTCTATCTCTACAATAGAAAATCCGAGAGTTGAAAAGGTTTATATTGGCAGTACCAAGAATCAGCACCTATCCACTTTTAATAATGTTATTTATAGAAATAATACTTCACTTTCAAAATATCTTTGGAAGTTTAAAAAAGAAAATAAAACCTGTAAAGTTCAATGGAAATTTTAAAAACCTCCATGAACATGTAGATACTTATACGAACCTTGTTTTCTGTGTTTACAAGAGAAAATGTAGACAATAAGATTTTCAAATAAAGAGGTTTTATTAAATCAAAGATTTAAATTAACGGTCAACTGTAAACACATTTTACCTTTCTCCCTGCAATCTTGTTAGACTTTTGAAATTTGACAATTGCTTCTTCTTATATGTTGAATAACCTTGTTGTAAACATAAAAAGCTTATCTTTAGTTAGATCTTTTCGATGTAGTATAGTTGGTACGTTATTCTTCTGACATTTCTGGTAATATTTAGTCTCGCGGTATATACGTTTGCCTGACGTTTTAACATTCTTTATTGAGTTGTTTTATTAACACCCTATATAAAACCCTTTAGTTAACAGTTGCATTACATTGAGTAAGATCTATATATTTTATTATTTTATATGATCTATATGCTAAAAGTTTTGTTTACTACATTTATTTATATATTTTGTTCGATCTTTATGTTTTTCTTTCCTTTTCCTTCATTGGTTTCTTAAACAGCCATATTATTTATCTATTATAAAGTATTGTTAAATTACGTTTTCTTCCTCATAGGAAATGTCAGCCAGTTGAGGTTAACATTGTAGCGAAGAGTTTCTTTCAAATATAACTTTTGTTTGTCGCAATTTTAAATGTGTTTCATGACCTCTTACTTAGCATAGGACATTTTGATTGGATGAACTGATTATAAACATAACAGATTTTTCTCCCTCACATTCTCTGCACTTTCTTGTATATTTTTCCTTTCTCGTCTTCCTTTTCTCTTGAAAAGAGATTATATCTTATGTCTTTCTTTCTTTCTCTTTTTGTTTTCTTTCTTTTTTTCGCGGGAAAAGAGGTTGTATGTTATTATATCCTAACAATTGTAATAATCACTCATTTAATTACACCTGATGAGATGTGTTGATACACATCGAAACATGAGTGCATTTATGTAGCGCTGTTTCTACATGTTTGAATGTAATATCTTATAATAAAGAATATTGTTCTATTATTGGATTGTATTGAGCCCTATTTTAAATTAATGTTATGAACGTTTGAATTTATATTCGATCCATTTCATTTCGTATATATATATATATATATATATATATATATATATATATATATATATATATATATATATATATATATATATATATATATATATATATATATATATATATATATATATATATCACTGCTTAAACAGGCTTATAATGCTCTGGATGCAGCGGCTTGGGGATAGAAAACGTGACTCATGGGGGCGCAGTCCGTTGGTATAAGTAGACTCGGATGAGTCACACGACAGAATTTGTGAAGAGCTGATACTATATTGAGTCTGGTTTGTTACCTCTTCGTCACCGTGACCCGTTAGTCCAGTGGGTATGACGCTTGCGCCATACCGTAACGGTCCAGGTTCGATTCTTGGTTTTGCATGCGCACTGCTGATGAGTCCCCAAAATAGGAGGAAACAAATGTCCAGCGATTTCTGCATTCTGTAGACGATTCTTCTAGATTCGATGAATTAATTATGATTATTCAAATCCAACTTCAAATCCAATCTCTCTCTTTATATATAGATATATCTATAGATCTCTATCTATAAAAGACAGGATGTGTGTGTGTGTGTGTGTGTAACGAATGCCCGGCCGCAATTTTCGACGGATTTGGACCAAAAGTTACATGCACATGCTCCAAGTTAGTGGAAAGGCCAAGACCAACTTTGCATTTCCCAACTCCCATTGATAGTGGAAATAATCGATTTTAAATGCTTCTACGGCAGTTTTCAGTAGTTTTTCGGCAGTAGTTTGCGGCCATTTTGTACTGGCCAGAGTGAGAGCCTATAGCTGGCTGCTACGATTAGACAGGAAGATTCTATTGGCCAGCGTGAGATCTAACAGCTGACAAGTGGGAAAAATTTAAATCTGCATGGCACTTTACTCCAATTGGCTCATTCGCTTGCTTAAACTCAACGTTGATTCTGTTTCCGCAGAAATTATTTGTTGCTAACATTCTTTTTTCTTTCGGTTTTTCCAGTTACGAGTCCTTTTTTAAAGCTGATCGTTTTGTGTTCATTTTGTTTAGTTCTTTTTTCGTAACAGATTTAATGTTTAGTATAGAGTTTAGAAAAAATTTGCAGTGTGAGATAGGCAAGAAGTAAGGCATGTAGCAACATCAGCACGACAAAGGACACTCCTTTAAAGGCAAGGAGCGGCAAAAATATTTTAAGTCAAGTGATAGCGATTGCTGCATGAGTCGTACGATTTTTTAATCAAGCACGGGCAACGCCGGGCCATGCTGCTAGTATAGATATAAAATATAAATATAAAAGCACCCCAGCGGCATCAGTAGATGTCTGACGATCAGTAGATATCTGGCAAACTGTATCATGATTTTACAAACGGAATTGGTGCAAAGTGCTTGCTTAGAGCCTATAGTAGGGTTCGAACTTCGTTCGTAGATTCTATGCTGACCACCAGACCAAATCTTCCTTTCTTTCGATCTATCTCTTTCTTTCATTATCTATCTATCTAGCTAGCTAGCTACCAATGAATCTATCTATCTGTCCATAACTATCTGAGAAATACAATAGTGAGTGAGTAATGTAAAAAGAGGAAATGTGTAAGACAGGAAAAGGGAAATATTGATAGCATAGAGAGTTTGAAAAAGAAGGTAAATGAATCAATGGAAAGGAGAAAGAGATCATAAAGAGATTGATATTGAGATTGGGAGAAAGAGAGTGGGAACAGACTTTGGGAAGAAATCGTGAGCGAAAGTGAGAAAGAAACGGTGACAAAAAGAGAGAAAAATTGAAAGAGGAAATAAGAAAGAGAAAAAAGGAGATTAAGATCTTTTGAGAGAGACGAAAGGGAGTAAATGGATAAAGAGAGAGAAAGTATAACTGGTAGAAGATATAATGAAAACAAGAAAGGGAGAAAGAGAGAAAAAAATACTGGAAAAGAAAAAAAGAAAAAGAAAAAAGAACAACTGGAGAGAGTGAATGCAAGACGGAAATCCAAAACTGAAGCTGAACTCTTGTCAGTGTAAATTCTTGATCCATCTACGCACATTTTTCTAGCGAATTTTCCCCGCCGGAAATTATCAGGGACGAAAACCGAGATCGGAATGGAACCAATAAGAGAAACAACTTTTAATCTCTCTCTATCGATTACGCAAGATCGAGAAACTCGCTGAAGGCTTTGGCTGCTTCCAAACCAACAAACCAATTAAATATCAGAATAACAGACCAAGGAATGACAGAATCAATCAATGATCGTTCGCAATGAGGAAATGGCCAAAAACAACAAAAGACACAGGGACAGAACCATATGAAATAATTTTAAGAAATATGTTTACTCAGCAAATATTTCATGCGCAACAATTTACCACCAAGAAATTACTTAGGTCAATATATATATATATATATATATATATATATATATATATATATATATATATAGCTTTTATATATATATATATATATATATATATATATATATATATATATATATATATATGCGACGAGCGTAGTTTGGTATAAGGCCACAAGTACCGGGTTTTGCTAAGTTTGGCATAATTTAAAATGTGAATATCTGAGTAGCTACATGTCCCAGTCAAACTAAATTAAATAGGTTTCATGTTGAACGATAAAAGATTTATTTATCAAAATCCGAACAAGATATTCAAAGAGATGCAGATATTATGACCGATTTCAAAAGCTTCATAAATGTTTACTATGTGCACCTCCTGTGACACGACACACGTCAAGCCGGTAGTCCAGCTCCTACCAAACACGCTGTAGCATGTCTTGCGTAACATTCTCCAGCGCCTTAGTTATTCTCTGTTTAAGTCCCTCTAAGCTTGTAGGAAGAGGGGGATATAGATCAATCCTTTCACATAACCCCAGAGAAAAAATCAGGTGTCAAGTCAGGTCAACAGCACATCATTATTATGACTGGACCGTCCTATCCATCTTGTTGGTAGGACGTTGCTATGATAAAAATACGACAAAATAATCTTCAAATCAGAAATGACGCGAAACGATTACGCAATCGATGCGGATATGTACCATAAAGCCATTAACAAGAAAGTTAATATGTCTTATAAAAAGGCACCCAATAACTGGGAAAATAAGATCAATAGGAAATCCCTTGAAAAACTAATGATAGGATCCATAAATTCCATAAATATCAGGCATTCATCACAGTTAAAGACCATGAGGCAAATTTTCTAAACAGCCCTCAATACGGATTACTCAACCCAACTAAAAATAATATAGGCGAAATCAGCAGAAACACCCTTGAAAGAGCATGCAAATACACGGAAAATTTTCTAGGTATTAACCAGTGGCACAAAACATTTGAAGCCATAGAATGATTTACAAATATAAAAAAAGAAAGAATGAATGTACATTCAACAAATTCAATATTTGCGACTTTTACATGTCCATCACCGAGAATCAACTAATGTCGACTATAAATCTAGCAATAAATTACTGTCCTATTAGCAATTGCAAAATAAACATTATAAAGCAGGCACAAAAGCCTATTCTATGCCATAATGGTTATCTGTGGACCAAAAGAAGCAACCCAGAATTTAATATTGCTATGGGAGCGTATGATTCATTGGAGGCATGCGAACTTGTTGGAATTCTATTATTGTGATGACTTAGATTTATTTTCGATATTAGGGAAACTGGACTCTATAGAGTTGACGGTGCCATTCTCCCCCGTAGAACTAGCGCACGAAATATAGACCGAAAGGAATTGGTAAAAAAATGTAAAGTTCACGAAGTAAATATTGCCACCACCACCAATGCTAAAGTGGTAAACTTTCTCGATGTAACCTTAAACCTGAATAATGGTTATTGCAAACCATGCACAATATATATATATATATATATATATATATATATATATATGACCATAGATACATTAGTAAATAATCAAACCACCACCACAAAATTCTACATAATCCACATAAATCAGCCCAAGTTAGATTATCCTCCAGCTGCAGCAATAAAGAAATATTTAATAATTCTAAAATTAAATATATAAAGATTTTAAAACTAAACAATCATAATGTAAATTTATAGTGTTTAGAAATAAACAATGTAGGTAAAAATAAGCATAAAACATCGTAAACGCAGCATTATATGGTTTAATCCAGCTTTTAACTGTAATTTTCAAACTAATATCAGAAGAAGTTTCCTAAATTTAGTTTAGAAACACTTTAAACATGTACCAACAATAAAAAAAAAAGTTTTTTCATAAAAATAATGTTAAGATTAGCTATAACTGTGTTAATAACATAGATACATCCATCTTTCATAATAACATTATATTAAACAAATATATTTCCAACAAAGACAACATAAATTCATCTAAAAATAAATGCAACTGCCGAAAAAATATGACCTGTCCCTTAAACGATCAATGTATGACCGATAATATTATACATTTACTGAGCATATGTGCCAGTAACGATGTTAAATGTTATTTTGGTCCCACTGAAAATCCTTGGAAATTTCGTTTTTTTCCATCATCGAATGACTTTAGGTAATAGAAAATAAAGAAACAGCACTACTCTCTCTAGATATATATGGCAGTTAAAAATAATGTTAGTTCCCCTTCTATTAACTTGAATATTATAGCAAAGAGCCAACGGAAAATAGAATAAATGTAATATGTCTTTTTTGAAAAAAATGTTTATCTTAAAACACATAAATAATCTGTGCTTATTAAACAAGAGAAATGAATTGATGGTTACATGTAAGCGTAAAAATAAATATCTGCTTAAATGCGTTGATCCAGATTAGTTTTAATTTTAATGTAAATTACTGTTTATTTTAATGTAAATTACTATATATTTTAAATATAAATAAATGTTTGTTTAGGAATAAATAAAAACAAGTAATATCCCTTTAAGTGAAAAAATTTTATAAATTGTAAAATTAAAAAAAAATATCAAAAATAAAAAAATTAAAAGTTTTTTTTAATTTTAATTTTATTTTTCTTACACTTATATATAAATCCCGCTTATTTTAATTGACAAATATAATTTAAAAATTAAAAAACTGTAATACCGGCATAATGTAGAGCTGCACCGATAACCAGATATATTAAAATTCATATTAAGTAGCGGTCAGTCGATGCTCAGCACCTGAAGAATGCGTTGTGCATGAAACTCCGAGTTGTGCTACCGGTGAGGTATACCATATGTATATTTATAAATCTCTCTCTCCGTCTCTCTCTCTCTCTCTTCTCTCTCTCTCTCTCTCTCTCTCTTAATATATATATATATATATATATATATATATATATATCCAGGTAAGATGAGAACGAAGAGAATACAATTCCAACGTTTTAATTCAAAAGAGGGTACAAAGAGCAATATCTTTAGTCAATTGTATATTTCAGTTGTATATTTATTTACCAAGTAAATCTATTGATTTAAATTATTTACTGGTTTCTTAAAGAAGCTATTTATTTATACATTTATGGAAAATAATTTCTTTTGTTTTGCTTCTTCCCTTAGTTTATGGGTCATATTTGATTGGTTGATCTAAGCAAAGCCCGCAAATATTATAACCAATCCCGCTCTTTTTTTCTTTTTTCGTAAATAGAGGTTGTATTTTGTTTTAAATAAATCTGATTAAATCTTTCACTCGCCAGTAATTTGCAATCACCTGATAAGATGCGTTGTATGTGCATCGAAACACAACTGCAATTGTGTAGCGATTTTGACATGTTTTCAATGCAATATCCTAAAATAATATATATATATATATATATATATATAATCTGAGTTTGTGCATGTGTGAAATGAACATGCAGAGAGTTTGCGAAGTTATTAAGAGATAAAATCATTGTTTTGAAGAAAAAGTTCATCGAATGACAGACTTTTGTTGTCTGTCTCCTCAAAATAAATATTAAAAATAACGGAAAGTACCGGAAAGTGCCGAAGGGAAAGAAAAGCACAAATTTTCTGTCTCGCTCGTAACATTCGTGTTTACTCGGGAAATGATAATATTTTTCAGATTGGGGGTTCAGGCGATTCTCTTTGGTCGGCCATCATTAGGGAGAGAAAATGAATTCTGCGAATGATTCCTCTTACCATTTTGACAGTCGATTTTCCAAATAATGTTTGGCTAAGTAAGGAATAAAATTCTTCACGCAGGTAAGCTTTTGCCATATTCCAGATCTTGCTATCTAATGTACATTCTAATCATCGCTGTATTCGATCATTTCTTATAATCTTTCTCTTGTTTCTTCTTATGACGATAGACTCCATCCAGAAGCAAGGGCTCTGATCGAGAGATTGATGGGATTTCAGGAACGTGGACCCACCTCTTAATTGCTGATCCGGTGTGGTAACACCTGTTACTACGGGCAAAAAATGAACCACGCAACAAACGTAAAACACAATGAAAGTATAACAATACATTTTTATAGTAAAAAAAGCAGCAATACAATTTTATTTTTAAAAATGACCAACGATACACATTTATAGTAAAATTACCAACAATACATTTAATAGCAAAATAACTGACAATACATTTTACCTGCAGTTGAAGCTATAAAACTGGACCAACATAATTAGATTTCGGCATTAAATAACCCATAGTGGTTGATATGCCGCTAAACAAAATCAACAAACAATACCTATTTATACTAAAATTATCAATAATACATATTTAAGCAAAATGACCAACAATACATTTTATCTGTAGTTGAAGGCATGCAATTGCGTTCAACATATATTTAGTTGAAGCCATAAAATTGTGTTCAAAATATTTAGATTTTGGCATTAAATAACCCATAGATGCGTTGATATGCCGCTAAACAAAATCAACCAACCATCAATACATATTTAAAGCAAAATGACCAACAGTACATTTTATCTGTAGTTGAAGGCATGCAATTGCGTTCAACATATATTTAGTTGAAGCCATAAAATTGTGTTCAAAATATTTAGATTTCAGCATTAAATAACCCATAGATGTGTTGATATGCCGCTAAACCAAATCAACCAACCATGTTCTACACGGAGCCTTTTTAACAAAAAGTTT